GTCGAAACTGCAGTCCACTAGTGCTTGGATGAGAACAACTTTTGGGAAAGCAAGGCTATGTGAAATTCAAGGGAAACGTCAGCTCAAAGCATATCATTGTAGGAAAATTCTACTACCAGTCCTTCATTCCCTTAGACGAAATAGGGTAAATACACCTCATTACAATTAAAACTTAGTTTATTTAAGTGAGTTGACCTCGTTGTCAGGGCGACTTAGTAGAATGCACTTTGTTTAATTGACAATTTCACTACAGAATGTGATCTGGGAGAAGGCCTGGCAGTCTTGGAAATGCATATCTGCCCTCTGACTCAAGAGCCTTTGTGACAGACTGGCGTAGTGATTAAAGTGTCGAGACTACCTGTTGCACTACCACAATCCGGGTTCGAGTCCCGCTGGGGTTGCTGACGAGATCGGGTTGAGCTTTTGGTATCATGGCAGCAATATTTCAATTATCACTTCTTCATCGGCCTGAACACTTATTAAGCCTCGAACGCCTCTGTAAGGTCGAAAAATGATGATAGATTTCAGCTAACCACCCTTCTTGGTTTGGCGCTTTGGTAACTTTCTGTAAATGATGCTTTGCAGATCTGGCGATGTCCGTCGCCTGACAAACGAGAGCTCAGAACGCATTCATCAGGATTGAAGAACTCTTTTCTTTCAACCATTGCGATAGATACTGCAACACCAATCTTATTACAGGCGTTCGGACAAGTGAGGCTTCGAGATTAGAAGATTCTACCGACAGAAGGCAGTGCCCAATCCTGAAAGGTGCTGTATCTGGGGCAATTCTCAGTATAGACCTCGACACCTCGAAATAGGTTGACTCTTCTACCAACCAAATGAATATTCACATTGCCACAAAGCAGCACAGCAGAGCACAAAACGCTGCACAAACCTGACAAGCGATAAGAGAATACACAACACACGACGCATAATGCACATCACACAATGCGAACCACACTTCAAACGGCACAAACAAACAACAGACAACACAATACAGTCAGCATACAACACACAAGACACGACAATGGGCGTCAACTGTACCTTGCTGGCCGGCGCCAACTCGGCGTCAACTGTTGCCGAGGCTTCTCTCTTAAGCCCCGAGAGCAATGAGACACGAGGGACAGGAGGCGTCGGTGTAGGCCTCGGACGAGGACATGATTGTACAGATTTAAGAAACATGCATACGCAAGAGCCGGGGCCTTGACAATGGGCAACGTCCGGCTGACTTATGGGCTCTTACAGGCAAAAAATCCTGCCAGTCCAAGTACTAACAATCCCGGCTTTTCGGCCAACGTAAGGCTGAGTGGATCTGGTAGATTTATGACTGGACCAAGGACACAGAGACAATGTAAGCCAAAGGAGTGACTCGTAAATGGGAATATGCTGCCGCGGAATCTAAAATACCCACTCATCCACTCATCCACTCACCTCCCATACACATGCATACACACAAAAAACATATCGCGACCCAAACTCGCATACAACGCCAGCCACATATTTGCTTGCAAACCTGTTATTCACATTCAATGAGGGTGTGAGACTTCTTTGCTCCATCAAATGCAGGGCAGGGTATGACTAACATACATGCAATTACATGTTGTTGGACATTTTCGTTTGTTGCGCGAAGTTCGATTGGGAATATCCCTTGGCTGGACTTAAGGGCTCTGTCAGGATTGCAGAGATGAATGTCGAAGATCTCGGCTCTCAGTCTTCCGACCACGAGGAGTCGCTGCATTCCCTGCAAAGTTTTGCCAGAAATATGCATTTTTTCAAACAGCAATATTTATGCCAAAAAACACAAAAGACTTTGCACTGAGTCCTCCTTGTTGGAGGACGGTGTGCGGAGTACTGCAACGCTCAACCAAGAAATCACAATAAATTCAAAGAACCGTGCGTCGGGACCAACATGTGAATTCCTTCCAACCAATTGAGGCTGCAATGGCATGAAATAGCATGTCATTCCTATCGTGGAACACCTATTCAAAAATAGACCTCATAAAACAAGTTAGAACAGGTTGGAAGGTTAATAAATGTACCTTTTGTTGAAAACTAGCAAGGATAGTCAAAATGATGAATAGATGAAACAAGCATATACGTCAAGAAAGTAGGATGCTTTCCAGCTTTTCAGATGAAAGGACCACTATTTCTTGATTTCCCTACTTCATGTTTCTGAAGCTCCTATTTGACCAAGAGACCAGATCATGTGTTGGTGCAATGAAAAATGTCTGAAAAGTATTATAGCCTATAGAAGTATCTATGACAAACATACAAACTACGCTTTATTTCATCGAGAGCTTCAGCTGGCCTCGTCGAACATTTTTAAATATACATTCCATGCCTCAATTTTGCACCTCTACGACATACTACTCGCTTCATGTAAGTATTTGGGATGTTTCATACCATTCTAGCTGCTTTAGTGAATTTCCCTCAGCCCTGCTAGCCAAAAGCATTTCAAGCTCGGATCGGATTGCAGTTTCTGTCTTAACTGGGTCTCATTCACACCGACGATGCGTCTGTGAACCGAGTTGAGCAGGTCAAGTGGCCACACATCAACACTTGACCAGGGCGCCCGTGCTGCTAGATTACAGGACAAAAGTATAGTTATGAATAAAAAGTGGGTTTATAAATATGTCATGGTGATATATTGTGACAGGTCTTTCCATTTCGAGGAAGAAGCTGGTTGAAAGGAATTCGTGGTATGATCTGACCGGATACCGAAGGAAGATTGCCGTGTAAGTAAGACTGGTGCTGTCTGTCAGGACGGTACAGGCGAAAGCTTAGTACAGGTTTATCGCAGTCACAGAACGGTAAGCCGAAGACTTATTCGAACGATACACTCGTCTTCCTTACACATCCATCCTCTTTCGGTTTCCGGTGATACCACAGCATTAATTCCTTCCAACCAGCTTTTCCTTCGAGATTGAAGTCATGTCACAATAAACGCGTGGTTGTCAGAGAATTGGACGATATTGCTATTGGTAGATTGAGCAGTCCTCAAAAGTGTAAACAGATCTTTTTTATCATAATTACAATTGACGACGAGACTCGGGCAAAGTAGAGTGCGGTCCAGTTCGGATACGAAAGCTGTTTTCGGGGCGAAGTCAACAAAGATTCAATGAGACGTTCAACTATCAGGACTAAGAGGAGGATAATTCTATTATGTGAAATGTAATCTTCAGTTATTATGTGCTACTGATATGCATTGAGTAGTATGTTTATATAGGGACAAAAACGTAGGATCCCGTGGAGATCTAGGCTAAAAAATTTTGTAAAACTTTCTGTCTGACTAACTAAATTAATTCTTAACTAGTATACTTTATAGATAATTTTTAGGCTGAATCGCTGTTTAAACCCTTATCATTCTGTAGACATGACCTTACCTCTGGGTCAATATGAAAACTCCGACCAAAAGGGGCCCTCTTTCCGGCCATCTATGCAGCACGCATAAAATAGAACAAATGATAACTTTTCAAATGAATCTACAGATGTTTCCTTTGGGCACTTAAGACGAAAATGATAAGGGTAACCCGGCGTAACAGCAGACTATCGAAATTAGATAGGATTTTAAGAATTATCAACTTAATGCTTCTATCGCAGAGGCTAATTTCTGCTTATTTCTGCCAAGGCTTACTTCGGGAATTCGGAACATTGGGATTTATGTTCATTGTCACTTGTTCGGAAGCCATCCAGTAAACCCCTGCTTTGTCCCAGGTCTTCGTAAGAAGTATACATTATGTTTTGTACATTGTTGTAGTTTGTTCAACGTCACAAATTAATTGAGCGCTTGATGATAACAAGATGAGGAAAGGTAAGCAGAGGCAAGAAAATAATATTG